TTGTTATTGTTATTGTTATTGTTATTGTTATTGTTATTGTTATTGTCGTCGTCGTCGTCGTCGTCGTCGTCGTCGTCGTCGTCGTAGTCATCGGTGGCGGCGGCATTGTCATCGTCGTCGTCTTTGTTTTGTTTCTTTACCTGGGAAAGGGTCTCTATAAGTCAGAATTAACTTGACAGCACATGATTATTATTAATTGTAACAAAGCCTCCTGGAAAACAACTACCTAACTGCCACAGAGAGTTGTTCTAGGAATTGTGGAAACTGACCTTTACTTACCCCCAATAGTACTACTCTCACCTTTGAAAACTTTGAAATCACAGCCAAGCACTTGCATTATCGTCCCAGCAATTACTCTGTGGGGAACGGAGGGCAGATGGCTGTTAATCTGCAGATCATTGATGTGACAGATCACTCTCTCTTTTTAGCCTCAGTAGTGTGCAAAGTGTTAAGTTCCCGGGTTTCAAGAGGATCAGGCACATTTGACCTAGCAAGGAGGCAAACATATGTTCAAGCCACCAGTGATATCCCTTGATTTAGCTAGGGAAGGCAGCAACCAGACAGGCTGCCTCTCAAGACCTTTCGTTGAATGGTTTCTCGTGAGGGTGATATAACAGGAGACAGGGAGGTGTCAGTCACATTCCAGCTGTCGAAAGAGTGGAACCATAAGTCTCTGATGAGCACAAATCCTTGTAAGACAGCACAGCAGGTGCTTGTCCCTTCAGCGTATTCTCTGGATGGGTGTCTTTGATTCTCAGCTGAATTTTAATAGAAGTCCAATGATGAAGAAATATCTATATTAACAGACTCCTGTCATCTCCAGGGGTAGAGGACACATCTCTTTTGTACCATGCCAGATCACAGACCCATTAACCCTTCCGTTGTCAATTCTGGCTAGCAGTAGCTCTCTGAGGTTTTAGGGTTTGTTGATTAATTGATTGATTGATTCATTCGTTCATTTGTTGCACTAATATCCCACTATTCCTCCAGTAATCTTGAGTCAGTCCACATGACTCTATTCTTTCCTACTTTATCTTCATAGCAACTCAGTGAGGAATCCTGGGCAGAGAATTTGTCATTGGCCCAAAGTCATGGAATGAGTTTCATCCCCGAACAGGGCTTTGAACCCAGGTCTCCTGAGTTTTAGTCCAATGCTGTGACCAGTGCTAAAAGGCTGTGAAAGTTGTGGTCCGAAACATGAGAAGATCAAAGATTCCCCACTCCAAAATTATAAAATCACATGTGGTGATTATGTGGCCACCAGTTCTGATGGCTTTAATAAGAACTAGATGAGTCCATGGAAAATGGGTGTGTTAATTGTTATGATACAGTGTCATAAAACCTCATTAGCAATATGCTTCCTAATGGTCGCTGTAGTAGCTCCAAAAGAAAATGTGCTTATTTCTATGTTCATCTTATGGCTTCCTAGAGAGCTACTTTGAGGAAGAACTGAAATGGGAGATTAGACGAATCTTTGGTTTGTTCCTGCCAGGTTCTTCCTGTGTTCTGAGTTTATGCTTTCTTTCTTTCTGTCACTCAGGGTATATTGAAGAAGCCTGCATCATTCCATGCCCCTCAGATTGCAAACTCAGTGAGTGGTCCAACTGGTCTCGCTGCAGTAAGTCCTGTGGCAGTGGAGTCAAAGTCAGGTCTAAATGGCTCCGGGAGAAGCCCTACAATGGTGGAAGGCCCTGCCCCAAGTTGGATCATGTCAATCAGGTAATGTCTCCCTGTCTACATTTTTGTCAGCCATTATTCTTGTGCATTTCAAAGCTGGAAACAAAATAAGACTTTGCTTCTTGTTATAAATACTTCATGGAAGAGACAAATACGAAATCCAAGAGAAGGTTAAAAAAATTACGGTCGTGCAAGATGGCTTCCTTTGCTTTGGTCCCTTTGTACTGAACACTCTTACTTGTCTCCTTAACCTTGTCTTCTTAGCAAACAGAATTGTTGTTTTTTTGCTAGAGCTGGGAACTTTATTCCCTCTGATTAATTTTAAGTTAATTGTGCAATAGAACCAAATAAAAATGCATCCCGAAAAACAATTCCTGACAAAAGAAACGAGCAATTTTTGAATATGTAATTATTTTTGATTGCCAAAATCCTTTTGCTTTATTATATCCATATAAGGCAAACCGCATAACTTGTAGCAGTTTCTGGCTGGCAGTTCACAAGTCCTCAGTGGGATGATTGGGCACACATCAATCTGGTTCATTTGCACAAGCCTGAAAATCCTAGCAAGGACTCATTAATTCGCAGTGAAAAACCACCACAAGTTATGTTGCTTGTGTTCCACAGCCTTAGTTAAATGAAACAAGGTTGGTTAATGTGACAGAAACTACAGAGCGCAGGAATATAGCAGACGGAGAGAAGACTGTCCCTCACTCCTGAACACACACATAGACAAGAATCTTCTACAGAGTTTTGGATAGCTATTTTTGGACTACAATTCCCACAGTTCCCCAGACCACGTGGCCATTGGCGATGGTCTGATAATGTGAAGACTGCTGTGACAGAGAGAAGTTGTGTTTACAAATAAAGCATTTTTATCTTCAGCAGTCAACATATTGCTTTAATTGTATGCATGTGTAATTAATTAATGGATTAAAGATCATCAAATAGCTGAGGTTTCTTTAAGTGAATGACAGGTAATGCCTTCTATTGTTTCCCTGGTCTTCTGCAGAAATCTGCTTTCCTTACATTTGACCAAACCAAGTAGTGGTTTGTATGTTCTCCATTCAAATGTGCCAAACAATGAAGTATAATACTGAGCATAACCTTCAGCAGACCTTAAGTGATGTTCTCCATTCAGATGTGCCAAACAATGAAGTATAATGCTGAGCATAACCTTCAGCAGACCTTAAGTGTGCTCTAGGTTGAACACAGACATAGGGCTAAAAACCAATCCACTGAAATCAACAATTTGAGCTAGTCATGACCAATATGCCTCGTTTATTGCCGTTGATCTACTCTGAGAATTTACTAGATTTGCATCTAGCCCTCTCTATTCAGATGTGCCAAACAATGAAGTATAATGCTGAGCATAACCTTCAGCAGACCTTAAGTGTGCTCTAGGTTGAACACAGACATAGGGCTAAAAACCAATCCACTGAAATCAACAATTTGAGCTAGTCATGACCAATATGCCTCGTTTATTGCCGTTGATCTACTCTGAGAATTTACTAGATTTGCATCTAGCCCTCTCTTCTTGCAAAGCTCATTTGGCCCTGTTTCATGTTCGGAACAATTGAACAATGAATGACAGAAGAAGGGGCAGCATTGTGTCTTTTCTATTTGATTTATACCCATCTTGAATTTGGAATTAATCTGCATTTTGTCCGGCAAATATCACAGCCTGTGTTCTCATTTCCATAAATTCCCTTTAGTGTGGGAAGGAGAGATTGCAAGGGGGAAGAACTGCCGGCCATTCTCATCTGAATGAGATGTGCATTTGCTAGATGCCATTATGCTGACGTTTTGCAAGCACAGAAGGAAATGGCCCGCTGATTTGATTTTCCACTTAAGAGGATGTAATTAGTTCTACTTTAGAACATAATAAGTGTTAAACTAAAGCTAATAAACCAAATTTGTAATCCAATTTAACACCAAAGAAAGTGAGCATGAAGGCTGGTTTTTGTAGGTGAAGGTATTCAAATCCAGAAGAAAACTATTTTAATAAGTTGTCCTTCATTTCTGATGAATTCATATACATCAGTTTTTAAAGTACATATCAAAATAAGTGATAGACAGAGAAGTGTATTCTGAAGATTATGAGGTTTATAGCTATGACAATGTTGCCCTCTAGTGGTAGCTGGCATACTTTTTGTTTTATTGTTACATTTATCTTTTCATTATTAACATTTCTGTTTCTCCCTGTCCTAGTGTTAACATATGTATGCTTTCCACAAATTCATGCTTCTTCCTCCTAAAATTACAGGCATAGTGTGGGTGGTTGTATGAACATATGTGTGTATTTTTCTGGCCCTGAATTTGCACAATTTCATGTGTGGAGCTATACTGAAAAAAATTGGTAAATTTTGCAGAAAAGAAGGATGTGGTGCTGAATATGAAGGTGGAACCTGAGACAAGATTTCTTACTGGACATGTTCTAGAATACAGAAATCAATAATTTTGTTCGTTTGTTTCTGCCAAAAGGAATCTGTATATGTTTTTTAAAAAACTGAATTGGCATAAATAGGTGTCTTTTTTAAAGGCACAAACTTTTTTTAAAAAAAAAATGAAGCGATTCATGTTTCATTTTTTCACAAATGTTGGATGGTTTGTGGTTCCTGGGTAGCCACAAACCATGAATCACAATTTTTGTGGTTTTTGCCCATCTTTATATCTCTTTAATATTGAATACACTTTATTCCAAACCTACATATCAGGAAAACTGAGAAAGGTAGTCTAAGCCAGTGGTTCTTAACGTGGGCAATAATGCCCCCCAGGGGGGATTTCATTTTTCAGGGGGGCGGTAGAACGAAAAGGGGCGGTGTGGGGGCAAAAGAACAGAAGGGGGCGGTAGGGGGGCACTGGAGGGAGCCAAACCTGTGAAGGTGATTGCAGCCGCAGTGCTGCCAGTAGATCCAGTGCTGCTGCTGCCACCAGATGATCCAGCTCTTTCTACCTGCCACGTCTCACCTTTCTCCTTTAGGGGAGCACTGAGTGTGGATCGGGTGGAAGGAAAAGGTCTCTTGGGTCCTCATCCTCACCCCGTGAAGCGCTGCCTCGCACCCGGGTGGGGAGGGAGACTAGGTAGGTAGGTAGGTAGGTAGGTAGGTAGTTCTCTCCGGGCCTCGGCATTAGGCCCCTCAGAAAAGCTAGAAGCTGAATACAGCTCTGTGTTTGCAGTAAAAGCAACCCGTGGAAGGCAAATCTTCCAACATCCATTCAAACAGAAATGTTCAGGGTCCTCTAGGACCTGCCGTAAAATTCAGCACGAGCAGGAGGAAGACATATAAAGCAAGACTTTTAGTTGCTTTAAATATACTGTAGTGTTTTGCTGCTGAAATTTAAAAAAACACACACAAAAACTTTGCTTTAGAATCAAATTTTCCCTACCTGTTGCAAAAAATTCATGGTTTTGGAGGTGCTGAGGGCTCTCAGCCCTCACAATATGCAACACATTCTAGAAGGTGTGAAGGAATAGTTTAATGATCCAAGAAGTATAATTTTAATCCCCATGTGGATGTAGCACAAGGTACTATTTAGAAAAACATCGGGAAATCCAATAAGCACCAGTAAAAATTACTCAATGTTCTCTTAGTGTATATGTGAAATCAACAACCCATACTTTTTATAACATATAGCACGTGTTGAACGTCAATTATTTTACAAAGACGCTGTTAATGTCTTTAAGAGCAATAAGGGTAATGGAGAAAATCATTTTCCATCCAGACAAAACAAACAAACAAACAACAACAGTATTTCAGCCTTAAAAACTAGAAACCTTAAAAACTTTAAAAAGCCAAATAATATACAGTAATCCAAATTTGAAATTTGATGACATTTCATCTTCTTGTTTTTCAACATCTACAATTATAAATAATTATTCCGCATCCCAGGAGATGTTTCTTATTGATGCCATTCTGCCGTCTCAGCTGTGGCATCCTTTATGTTGTCAGTCTTTAAGTTCCCCACTGGCAAAATGCTAATCATGTTAAAATAAATTCACCATGAAGCATCATTCTTTTCAGTGTTTTGTCCAGATCTGAATGTCTTGCTCTGTCAATAAGATATGTGTAGGTATTTTCTTTTCAGAGTAGGGGCTTGGAGTATGCTTTTTTACTAAGAAACAAGTAGCTGGGCTAGATCTGGGATTTGTGGAGGATTTCTTCTCATGGAAGATGCCTATGGCCAGTTTCCATCTCTCCCTCCCTCACTGCTGGAGGAAAGAGCTTTGCTGATAGCCTTCCTTTTTCTACTCTTGTTGTTCTGTTTTTGTGGCGCAAATTAAGAAAGAAAAAAGATCATTTAAAAAGTATTTAATTTCCTTTGACTGCCTCAAACATACCCCAAAGAAGCATTTTCTTAAGGATGAGAAATACAATAGGACTCCCTTATCAGCGGGATCAGTATCTGCTGATTCACTTATCCACAATCTGAAAATATTCAAAATATTAAAAGTCCTAGAAATATCTATTTTTATAAAGATGAGGTTACCAAAACTGGCCACTAAAGAGAGCCAGAGACTATACTGTGTAAAGTATTTGTGTAATCCACGTATTTCAGCATCCGCAGGGGGAGCTTGGCACTGATCCCCCGTGGATACAAAGTTCCTACTGTATAAGAATTTCTAAACAAACCAGTAGTCTCAGTGGACTGAAAATATGACCATGTGCTACAAACTGGGCACTTTCAAAGTTTAATGTCCCTGTATCGAATCTTTCTGCATCATGGAGGATTAAGCGCAGAAACAAAAAAAACACCATATGTTTTGTGAGGAACATTAATTTTGGGAGGGATCAGTGTAATGCTTTGGATCAGCATGCCTGTTATTAAATACCTTTTTCGCTTCCTAACTATTGTTTTTATTTACCTTTGCTCATTCCCTTGCGTTCATGGCCAACTCCTGCCCCAGGCTCAGGTAAGAGTCTGTGAAAGAGATGTACAGCATTCCGGCATGCATCTAGAGAAAATTCCATAACCTATGTATTGTTTGTCTTTGGCTGTAACTTTTCTTTGAAGCTATATGTGTTTTGTGCAGTTCTTTTCAGTATGCAATGATCACAGCCTTCTTTGTGCCTGCAGTGGGAGGAGTTAGGAAAAAGCACAGGGCTAAGATTAAAAAAAAGGATGGCAATTGTATTTACTTACACAATTTGGCTGATAGATGAGAGCTAACCCCTAATAAGTCTAGGGCGACGCTTGGTGGGTGTTTAGGTCTTCTTGATCATCACACCAACCCAGGCATATAATGGGACAGGGAACTAGTTTGGTTCCAGGTGGAGTTTGACCGTGGAACAATCCAGTGGGCAAGATGACACTGAGTGGTGGGACTCCTTCAAACTTCACACTTCACCAATGTTACCTTATTCCACATTTTCATCAGGACAATTTCTGCTTTCTGTGCTTCTCAAGACAAATGTCTCTTGGAGTGTTGTCTGGGAGCCTGTATGAAGGCCTTTAAGTTCTACTTCAAGGCTCGCTCCACACCTTGGAGAGTCCTTGGCAATGTATCTTTCGGTGAGGAAGATGGGACACCAATAGCACTATGCCTTTACTCAACACTGCTGAGAAGGAGAGAGAAGCTGGATAAAAGTAGTGATTGCCAGTCCCCGTCACCACAACTGCTCACTGTCAAGTGGATTGGGGACAATGTGGTTGTGAAGTCAGGGAGTTCTGGTGGGTCTTTCCATGGCATTGGGACTCCATGAGCTGGCCAAGGATGCTGTCCCTGAGCTAGCCTTTCCTTCAAGTTCACTCTTGCCCCATTTGATGTATCACTCTGATGCCTATTACTGTGTGAAGGTCACAGTACTGACTGTAGCGTGTACCAAATAGCATTGGCCTCTAGATCAGTGGTTGGCAGTCTTGGGTAACCCAGGTGTTCTTGGACTGGAGTTTCCAGAAGCCTTCAGTACTAGCTGTGCTGGCCGGGGTTTCTGGAATTTGCAGTCCAAGGACTCTTGGGTTACTCAAGGTTGGGAACCACTGTACTAGATTATTACGAGACCACAGAATAAAAAAAAATAAAATAAAACTGCCACCTTATCTGGAACACTAAATCCAAGCACTTCCAACGAGACCACAAAATAAAAAAACAAAATAAAACTGCCACCCTATCTGGAACACTAAATCCAAGCACTTCCAGCTCCAAGCTTTAGCAGAGAACTTGAATAGCCCTCTTTATCAAATCATTGCTTGCTAAATAGAAGAACAGATGGGAGGATCCATTGTAAAGCCATGTAGCATTGGACCTGTTTAGCTACTCAGGCATTGGCTTCTTCTACCTCTTTCCCTTGGTCTGCTGGCATGGAATAATAATGTTTATGACTTTTCTGTTTCAAGCATACACTCAGAAACAATACTATAGAAGCAAGGAGAGAGGCTCAAATCTGGACAAGAGAGGAGTGAGATAAACATTGCTAGGAGTATCAGTCTAAGATTGAGTAGCATAACTTAGGACAGATCAGATCAAGTAAGGGACAGCCTATGAAACTGAGGAGATCTCTGTCCAGCCCTGTTCATGTTTTCTTTTTATGCTTTTTTATGGATTGATTACCTTAGATCTGATATTTTGGATGTTTGTGGGTTGTAACGTCCATCATTTCTCCTCATCAGCTGTTTTGACTCGGGCTGGTGGGAGTTGCTGTCCATCAACTTTTGAAGGACTGTGTACTCTCTAACACGTGTGTAACAGCTGTTGTATTTCCTGTTAGGGAGTGAGGAAATCTAAGGAAAAGAAACCAGAAAGGTAACTCCCTCTCATCTCCATACTTGGTGATAGGATATTTTGGAGAGTCACTCATTCGTAGGGTTGCCATAGGTTGGAGGTGACCTGGTGGCTCAGAACAACAACATAGACTTTGAAGCAGTTCCCAGAAAGATATTTCAGAGACTCATCATTATGAGTTAGCTGAGGCAGTGTAGTACACCGGGAGGCGGAGTGAGCAAAGGCACACATACATATCCCCTTGCTTGCTAATGCTGATTGTCAGTGCATGACTCTGTCCTAACTTTCACAGCAAGTGTCCTGTTTCTCGAATTTTCACGATAAGCATTGTGGGGAGTTTGTCAGTAAACTGCAGTGATGATGCTGCTGCAAATTCCACCTGACTGATCTGCCCCTGTCGGTGAAGCAACCTCATGTTTGGTGTGTGCATTTTCCAGGTCTACGAAGTAGTCCCATGCCATAGTGACTGCAGCCAGTACATTGGGGTCACTGAGCCGTGGAGTGTATGCAAAGTGACGAATGTGGACTTAAAGGAGAATTGTGGTGAGGGCGTGCAAACCAGGAAAGTGAGGTGAGCAAAACATTAATATGACCGTTTCACAGAGGAGTGGGAGAAGAATTCACCTTTCTGCTAAAGCAATGTTCTCTCTTCAAGCAAACAGACTGGGCTTGATTATCAGGAATAGGTTGGTTTACCATCTCTTGAACCTGCCTATCAGGATGTTGGGAATGCTTTTGGAGGCCTGAGGCCTTCTCTGAACTTCCACTGTGCATGTCTATAGTGTGTTGTGTGCATTGCAAAGGGATTTTGCCCGTGTCAGAGAAATCTTCCTGGAACAGCATTGGGTTTTGTTTGTGGAGAGGCAGAATCAGAGTTTGCCAAAGTTACTTTTCCAGACTGCAACTCCCAGAATCCCCCAGCCATCATGGCTATTTTGTAGAGTCATGTAGCAGCTAGAACACTGAACTAAGATTAACAGGGAAGCCTTCATGTTAGAGACAGGGACGAATATAAAAACGGATTGGTTTTTCGATGAAAATAGCTGATTCATTAAATATTCATCCTTTCATATTCGTGGGTTCCAGAAACCCCACAAATATGAAGGGATGAATATTTACCTGTTTTTATTCATCCTTCATTTTTAAAAACAACAGCAGCAACAATCATTCTGCCTACCGGCCACCAATCAGCTGATGGGTGGCAGAAAGGCACCCATCCCCCCCACAGTCACCCAAACCCACTGCCTTTCCCTACCTTAGCCCTCCCCCACCCCCACCAA